GGGCCCTTGGGTTTTTTTTTTTTTTTTTTTTTTAAATTAACAATTCCTTTAGAATTCACACATCTATTTATCAGCCCTATGGAACATGTCTTCAGTTTCTTTCTTCCCCTAAAGGGCTGACAATAACAAATAGTATACAACATTACTATAGTGAAGCAATTTCTAAGGTCTCAACAATTCATTTTTCATTTTTAAGGGAGTAGAAAGGTGTGTTAAATCATAAAAATTATATTGCTGACAGATGTGGTTGGATGTAAAACTGCATTTTATTTAATAAAACATTTAGCTTCATAGTTTGATATGATAATCCCCACAGATAATTTGGGATTTGATTGGGAGTCTGTTTCACTGAAAGTCTCATGGTTTCTTTTAAACCAGTGAGCCACACTACTTTTGATGATAATCAAAGCCCCCTGGAACAGTGGACACAGGCCCTCAAGGCTTTGTTCCACCCCTCTCCACCCTGTCCTGTGTCCCAGAAGCTGACTAATGACCTTCTCAATGGCCTCCCTGTTCTGGGCTTCTGGGGGGGCAGCCAAAGATGTAGAGGCAGAAGCTGGGCACAAGAGCACTGCAAAGGCCATAATTTTCTCCTCAGGGCTCTAGAACTGCCCCCCCAAGTAAAAGCCTGGGTTCACTTAACTTTTTCTTTTTGCTTAACAGGTCTAGAGGTGTTCATGGTACCCATTCTAACTGGTTTTGGGGTTTTTATGATACCTGGTTGATTCTCAAACAAACCCTTAGCTTTGTAAATAGTAATATTATTAAGAGTAGAGTAGTACTAATTAAAAAAAAAAACACTCATTTTTTTTTCTCTTAGGACTCACTAGTACACCAATTTGAAAAATAGCATCATTAAAAATGATCTTAGATTTTTTTTTGCTGAGATTTTATGACTAATTATTCATTTATCAGACATTTTTTGGGTGATTTCCACTCACTAGACACTGGACTAGGCACAGGGAATATGGAAGTTACAAACTTCCTGGCCTTGTGAGCTATCATTCTTGTGGTGGGTTGGGGAGAAGGACGAAATAAACAAATGAACAAGAAAATTTTAAAAATTAAAAAAAAAATATATATATTTTAATTTTTAAAATTTATTTATTTGTGCATACAGAACTGGGGTACAGGCCAGAGGCTCAGGGGTGGCAAGAGGCTTCGCCAGAGACAGAGTGGGGAGTAGAACAGGCAGATCGGCAAAGTACACTGCTGAGGGGAGCAGCAGGCAGGTCAGGAGAGGTCTGGCACGCCATGTGGTCACCTCCGGGGCAGGCGGGAATCAAACTCATGCAGAAGTGGCTTTTAGCTTCTTAGTGCTGTGCTTTAACCCGCAGGGAGGGTCCAGAAAATGTAGTGTATATTTTTAAGTGACAAATGATTAAGAAAATAGTGTGCAAGGGGACTTTAAGGGAGGCTGTACAGTGTAAGTTCCAGTGGGTGGGTGGGTGTGGAATCTGTATTATATAAAAGGTAACGCTTCCAGCCTTATTTGAATTGAGACTACACAGGGGTGGTGACATGTCCTATTGGAGTAACTCAGGGGAAGAGAATTCCAGGCAAGGGATGAATAAGTGAAGAGGGCCTCAGGCTAGGTTGTGCTGGGTGTGAACAAGGAAGGACTCACAGGACAATGGTATTTGAATACATTGGGCAATAAGGAGAGGATAGGGCATGAGGCCAGAGAAAAAATGGTGGGATGGGTGCCCACATAATAGGCATATCCAGGACCACTGGAAGGACTTTGACTTTTACGTAGTGTAAGATATGGTGAAAGTAAACAAAGACCACCAGATAGAGTGAAAACATGCAAAATCTCTGGATATAGTGTTTGCATAGAAAGGGAGTCAACCACCATGACTTGTATGTGGCAGAGACTCAAAGACATGAAAAGGTGTGGGGAAAGCTTTATAGTGGAAAAAGGGTAAGGTTTCAGGTAAGCCTTGATTGGAGGCTGTGGGCAGGCTAGTCAGAAGAAAGCATGCTGTTTGGTTGTTAGGGGAGGATATTTAACTTTCTCCTACCTAGATGGTCTTCAGTTGGAAGTGGTTACCTAAAATTAGGAAAGCTGTCAGTTTTGATCAAGTCCTGATTATTTTGGACCAAATTCTATAGACATTGTGGTTTGGCTTCCTAGCTACTGTAGGTTGTGGGTTAGCTTCATTTTAACAGTCTGACAATTGTCTCTTTGTGTATCTACTCTTTCAACATGAAAGCATAAGAAGACTTTGATTATAAGGGTACTGTAATTTGACATATTTTAAGAACATTATTTTTGGCTGCTGTGAGGTAGAAAGACATTAGTGGTCAGGAGCAAAGAATCCACTTAGAAACTTTAACAACCATCTAGGAAAGAGATGATAAGCTTGGATCAAGTAGTGACAGTAGAAGAGGCACCTTATTGCTGTGTGTGGATCAAGTAGGGAAGAGCCAAAAGGGTTTTTTTGTTGGATCAAATGAGAACAGAAAACCAAAGAGAACTCTAAGTTTTGTTGTCTTGACCAACTGGAGGATGCAATTGCTATCTACAGAGATGAGGATTGTAGGTGAATCAGA